TGTCTTAGATTGTTTTGGAGACTATCACGTCTTGTCACAATGTTTCTTGGTGTGTTTCAATTGTCAGATTGTCAACCTCTCAGTTTAGTCTTTCACGAAAGCATGTATGTACACTTGCAGACTGCGCCCCAATAACTTGAACGCAACGACCACACTGAATCCAGGGTTGGGCCCAGTGACATGATTTTGAATTCAGCTCAACCTTCCCTAAGGTTACAATATTATTGTTTGAAACGAACTCCCTAAAACTGTGAAATTGGCACACCCAGTTGCCTGCTGTGGGTTGTGGAATTCAGCCAACATGAGGAATAACACCAACAGGGTAGGGTAGGGAGCAAGAGTAAGTGCAGTGACAGGTACACTGTTGCTGTTGACTTATGAGACCTTACATGACACTTGCATGATCTATGCGTAATCTATACAAACACCTCACCACGGAAGTTACGAGCAAACCTGGGAAGGACATCGACACCATATTTTTGGGCATGGCGCACAAATAGTGCGCTCCGTCCCGATCGCCCGATCCATCCTGATCAAACCCAGGCTCTTTGACTTCAATTCGATGCCCTCCGCCGCTGCCCACTGTGTAGGCGATCTGATAGCGGCAGCCCACCTCCGCCAAGCGCACCAAATCATCACTCTCTGTGAACGTCAGCGGTGGCGGGTGCCGACCATGCGGATAGCCATCCAGCCGATAAGTGCCATAAAGGTTTTGCCGCACCAGCACCAAATCTCCCTTTAGCAGAGACAAAAATAAATTTCCCTTGCAATTGCCCCAATCTTGGTCCTGCAAAGGGGCAATCCCTTGTAGCCTGATCCCTTGTAGCCTTATGCAACGTACTCAACTTATACTACAAAGTTACTACAATATACAACAATACTATGTATTGGCATGAAATTATATACATACTGTATTAATGGTATGAATTCGTATACAACAATTTGCCCGCAACTGCGACAGTCCCACCAAATCCAGGATAGAAATTGTCCTAAAAAATCCACACTTTAACCACGCGATCCACACCTACACTCTTACACTCCGGGATGCTGGACGCCGAGGCTGGACGAACTGGGGCCTGAAATGTGCCCACGGTCACTTCGATCTTTGACACTGGATGCTGGAGCTCCCCAGATTCGGCAGCTGTCAACAAGCTATCCTCTGGAGTGCGGTCCGAAACATGCGCTTCAAGGCGGATCGGCCCGGGATTCTCCAAAAGCAGCAGGAGGCTGCTACCATCTTCAAGGCCATAGGAGCTCAGGCTCTCTATATCGTTCTCCAGTAGCGAGGTGTCATGCACCAGTTTTAGGCCTTGTTTCTTCGGGCCTTCCAAGGCCAAACGCTCTCGAATCAAAGCCTTCAAGTCAAAGAGGGTATCTGTCTCAAGGACATCTAAGTCGAAGGCATCCTTTCCAAGGCTTGTAATGCAAAGCTTCATGGGTCTACAGTCTACAGCCTACTCAAGGCTCTGCAATCCTACCCGTGATAGCAGTTTGAGAGATGCCATGCTTCGAGTGTTGAATCGATGCACCAAATCATCAGCCCAACCAACCAAACTATTTGCTTTCCGTCAGGGTTGGCGTGTCTTGCCAAGGCCCTCTATTGTTAAACATGAGAAACACACATGGACCATTGAAGCAGCGGGACTGGGGCCCTTCTCTTGCCACTGGAAAACCAATTCAACATTATTTCTGCATGTTTGATGTCAGCCTCACAGCCTTCCAGGTTGAATGCCATGAAACCCGCTTCCATCTCAAACAGGTCATGTTGATGCTGAGTTTCCTCACCTGCATCACCACCCAAAAATATGGACAGGTTAAATGTGGCTAAACTATGCTAAGCTACTAAGCATCAAGCACACCGAGTTAGGTTGACAAATGAATCCCTAGATTTGGCCTGATTTGGTTCAGATCCAACTCCCACCTCAATGCTCTGACCCCTTGCTGGCAAAGCCACCCTTGATCGGATCATCCCCATCGAGCCGGTCATGGTATTCCTTGGTGTGACTGGGATGCGTCAAAATTGGATTCCTTGTGATCTGAGAAATCACGTCGGTGCACATTGGCTTTTGACCAAGGAACTTTGCTAGCAGCCTCTCTGATCCTCCACACCTTCTGAAGTACCTGCAGGTCTTGTGCCCCAAGTCTTGGCAGTTGTGCTCTCCACTTCTGGGAGAAAGCACCCTCCTACAGTTTCAACAAAGTCGTGAGACCGATTGAGACCCTAAAATCTGGATAAACACTGCATACGGTAAACGCTGCAAGCAATTACAGCCTTGACTTGCCCATCTTGCTTGTGATCTTCAAAGAGATCGGGGATTCGGGGCTTAAACTTGCAGGCTAATAACCATGGTTCGTTGCCCAGTGGCGTGATTCCTCTTGCCATCCAGGCGGGCTGCCACGATCATCAAGATCTCGGCGGCGCTGGAAAACCCCCAAAAAAGGAGACTTGATGGAACTGGCAAGCTTGTATACTAGTTTATGTCTGTTTATGTATGTTTACGTCAGCATATGTTCTTCGGATACCGAGCCCTTCTTTTGCCTTGTTGAGCCCTTCTCGTGAAAAAATGCCGTCAGCTCTGAAGGTCCTCCCATCCGAAATCATCGTCGCCTCTCGTCGGTTCCGACGTTCTCTTCTTGGCTCCCCAAATGGGCTGCCGAGCGTATTGCAAGAGGGTGAAGGACAACAAAAAAATGGAGGTGCCTCGGCCGACACATTCTGCAAGGATTTCCGAAAGGGCGACTTGAAAGGGCTACGGAGTAGCAATGATACTGACTAAAGCTGGTGCTGATTCACCACGCGTTGGCTTTCCAAACCTTGAATGGACATAATTCTTAGTTGCCTCTGACCTCCTGGCACAATGTCTTACAACATGCGTATGTGCACATATGTGCCGCAACAGCATGCTTCAAGCGATTGGGGACCATCACCCGCCGCATGGGGACGCCCTGTTCCAAGGTGCCACGGTAGAGCCAGTGGACATCCTGGCGGTGCCAAGGCGGTGAACTCGAGGCTTGACACCAGCGGCTTGCCATTCGTTTCTGCAAACGTGGTCTTTGGGGATTCGTTTCGAACTCTCATCGAGCAGGAACCATCTAAGCCATTTGCTCCTCCTGCTTGCTAAGTGCTATGGTCGTTCTGAAATTCTCAAATTCAGCAAGGCTGTGATGGCTTGTCATCGAAGGAAATCCAGGTTCCAGCCACAGGTCACGCCTCTAGCATGTGCCGCAATCCCTCTGGACTGAAGAGTGTTAAATCTGCCTTGGGTGCAGCACTGCAGTTTTTGGAGACTGTTTGACCCCCCTTAGCTTTTACAAGAGCCAATTGAAGTTGTTGAGATTGGATCGAACATATCAAAAAAGTGTTTTGCTCTAAAAGATCCTGGAATGAACATGAATGAACCCTCCCCCGCTAAGCTGCATTGCACAACTTCAGTTCGAGGCCGCCCACGAAGAGGTGTCGTGCGGCCTGGGGGGCGACAGGCACTGGAAGGACAAGACGGTCAAAAAGAACTGTAACTAGGTATACTCATGAAAGATCATGAACACATTGCGACCCCTACAAAGATTCAAATCCGCAGTTTCATCCAAGAAACGTCAAACAGAACATAACACCACAATAAACCATACACAAAAAAAACAACCTACGTAATAGTTCCTTCCTGCCAAGCAGCATGCTGTACAGGAAGGTTCTCTGACCTCAAGACTGGCCCCAGCCAGGCTACATTGGCGCGGCCAAAAGCTGGACTGTTCAGGCTCCAAATGTTTGTCGAAAGACATGTGATGGCGCAAACTGATCAGAAAGCTGACTTTGAGTATTTCCCGCTGCCACGGTCTGGCAACCTATATGTGTCTTGATTCCTCAAATCCACTATAACAACCATCGATTTCCAATATATACAATCATGTTGAATCAAGGGTGTCATGATTGGCCTTATGTTGCGTTGGTGTGACCCTTGCTCCTCCCATCCACTTGAAACACAAACACGGCTCAGCGGCATTTGAGCTCGCACAACCTGGTGATCGAGCTCTCCTCTTCACGCGAGACAGCTCACCTGGGACACATGTGAAGACAAAAAATGACCAAAACACCAGCCTAACACCCATGATTCCTACTCTACCAGGTGATTCCTACTAAATGTCCATTGCACCGCCAATACCAAACCCTGAGCGTAGCTGTAGTGGAGCTCGTCTGAAAACCGTCCTATTCATAGAGCTGTCCGCTAGGCTTGGGAGATTGCTCGGGCCTCCCTTGGAAGTGCCAGGCGTGTTTTTTAATAGGTGGAAAGGATTAATGTCAATTTAGGTTGTCTTAATGCTGACAGCACCTTCTCCTGAGATTGTCCATGAATTATGTCTACCTAGCCCGACGCCTTCTTCAATCTTCCCCTCCAATGTAGGCTTGAAAAGCAAGTAGAAACAAGTGCCACGCTAGTAGTAACAGGTGCCTTACTAGTAGTAACAAGGACGCTACTAGGAACAAGAAGCTTGTTCCTAGCTGGGCACTTGGAGTAGTCCCACTTTCCCCCTCCCGTCAGTCGGTGCCACTCCAGACGGGCTGCTTTCCGGCGAAGATCTGGAGCAAGTTCAGCAAAGATCAGCCAGAAAGCTACATTGCAAGGAGCATGGCTGAGAATGCTCAGGGTCACACTTTCAACACACACACTTTCTGCTACAGCGTCCGCACATCACGAAGGGCTCCAGTGGCACATGTGAAGCGATGTCGTTTTGCTCACCTGCGCCGTCATTTCGGTCATCAAGCTTGAGCCATTTGCAGCAGTGCGACCAGCCTCAAAGGACACAGTAGTGATGATCACGACTGGCGAGTCCACATGTTTGGGGTCCAATCCACTGGAATGATAATTTGTTTGATCATATTGTTTCTACCACTAGGTCACTGATGCAAAGAACCCACAGCCTACACACCCTGAATTGACCGCCAAACCTACCAACCCGCTCACCTAACATCACCCAACTGGCGTGAAAGAAACTCGGTTGCTCTCCTCTGTCGACTTTCTCAGGGTGCCAAAGGTCTCCAATTGCTTCCTGCCAAATGCCACGCTGGCATGCCACGACGGGCATCAACCATTCTGTAGTAACGACCGGGGTTGGCAGTGGTTGGCGCATGCAATTGTCCTAGTGGTCGACAATCCCCGAAGCTCTTTCGTTCAAGCCCACGGCTGGCATACAGCTCTAAGTTGAATGACAAGAGCCGATCCCACTTCTAGATTCTACATATGGAGCCCAGCAGGCCCTGACACACCCACGCATTCTAACTACACAATAATTACTACACAAACCCTTTGGTTCGGGGAGTTGTCATCTTAAAGCAGCAAACCTGCGTGGTGCTGCTTTGATTCTATCTGCAGTAATTAGCTTATATATGTTGTTCCAAATCCAGCCCGTTACAGTAGCATGAAGCCCAAACGGTACCATAGAATACTCGGACACCGCGTTCAAACCAAGGCAAGAGTTTCGGGATGCCCAATTTGATCACAAAGAAGCCAGCGAAAGGGCTTGGCCATTGTGGAAGGGCATGGTCGTGAATCGATGAATTGTTTGACTGGTGAATGGTGCGAGTTCAAGATTATGGCCCTTTCTATTTACTGAGTGAGGCGGAACATGTCTCATTCTTGGCACATGTGACTGGTGCATTTGGCACCCTCTCACACCTACAAGTTACAGGCTTCCTCTAGCCGCAGTGTGTTGCAGGATGCAACCATGGTTGATTGATTGATTCAGACGCCAAAATTACTTTACCCTTACCACGTGACATAACCCTTACCCTGCTACTTGACCATTTCTGGACGCTCACCAACGGGCATGGCCTTCGCCCGTCAGCTTCATCTAGCCACTGGTCACCGATTTCCCGCTCGTTGATGAGGTTTTGCCACCCCTTCCAGCCTGGAGAACATGGAGAACCGACGCCGATGGACGTCAAAGTCACGGGAGATGCTGCACTCGCAGCACCACCATTGCAAGATCATCCAATATGGTAGATCAGGTCAATGTTTGTACCATGCTTTGAGTCTTTCACTAGACTGAATCCAATCCAACAAAGGACAAGAGTTAGGCAAGCTGATCGTAATCAAACACATGCATTTCTTGGGCACAGCCCCACTTGCAAAGCAGCTTTTCTATGTCAAACGCTGCATTTTCCGTTGCCCAAATCGGTCCAGGTCGTTCTTGGAGCGATGCAACATGACGCAGCGAGTGACCTAGAGCCTTTGGCTCGGGGAACCCAACACCTGGAGCTTCCAAACGGTCAGCTCAGAGATGAAGAGTTCATGAATCCTTTCGTTCTGTGCCTTAGTCGATCATCGCCCACATTCAAGTTGCCAGAAGCATTCTTATGAGCAAGTTTTGCAAGAATCACTTGTCAACCTATGCATATACAGTACAATAATACAACGACATATATTTCTATATTTATACAATTATATATAATTGTAAACTATATGCATAGATATGTACATATATCATGCCAATAGAACAAACAGCATTCTGATTTTGACTTGATAAAGCACAATGGAATTCCAACGACAATGCTTAGCAACTAAACAGCCCAAAAGGATAAAGCATCCAAAACGACATTCAAACTTGCTAGATCTGACCAGAATTCCAAAAGAAATGGAAGTTCTTCTTCCTCGACCTTGACAAAGCCATTCCTAGCGTGCGAAAAAAACCAACGAGAACAGCAAATTCGCTGTGACTTTTCTGGCAACATCCTGAACATGCGCTACTTGTGTCATGCTCACCCCGCGACCAAGTGGAATTGTCTGCATGACAGTGTGACGATGCAAATGGCCCGCCTCTCCATGATCTCACAAAGGACTGCTGAGCTTTGTCTACTGCAATCCCCAAGCCACTCCTGCATGTGACATGTAAAGGCGGCGAGTTGAAAGCCAAATGATGAAGGGTCAACACCGATCTGCAGCTAGCACTATGGCACCCAAAACCACATGACATGCCATAACAATCCATATCATGAACCAACCAAAAATGGCGGAGGCTGGGGCCCAACCATTCAGTGTCGTGGTTGGTGACCTCTCGACAAAGCAGCAAAAATTCGCAGGTCCTCCTTTGGCGTCCAGGCTTCAAGCCAGGCAAACGGCGTCACAAGCCTTCGAAATACCAGGTCAACAAATCAATACAAGCAGAACCTAATATGGGACGTGGGGAACCCGAAAAAGGTAGATCGCAAATGATCGCAGCATGTTACCTTGTCAGGTCGCAAGATGTTGCAAGTAGAGTTGCGCAAGCCGAACATCCAAACATGCAACAATATTGTGCACACGTTGGTTGATCGGCTCCGGGGATGCGGGTTGGCCTAGACAAAGGCCTAGGGCACATATTTAATTATGCACGCAGTGTGCCGCAATCAAAGCTTTACGTATGGCCAAGGTAAGTTGAACATGATTACAGTAATAATTATTATATACTATATATTCATTGCATTTTGTTATTTGTTCTCAGGATTCACCATATTAGAAAAGATAATAAGATTGAATCCAAAGAACTTCCACTTCAATCTAAACAATGCGGCCCAGCAACACAACGATGCCTGTAGGGGCCAGGCTTTCCGGCAACAAACCTAGCCATTCCCGTGGGCGAGGTAGGCGGCAAAGCACATTACACGCCAAGATCAGGTCGAATTTGGCGCCTGGCTGCATGAACTAATGGAACTCAAAAAGAGATCGAACTTCAACACCTTTGACCTCATACCTTCAGGCTTTCACCAGCAAAAAACGAGAAGGGTTCTGTCATGTTCTGTCCCACTTCTGGTCCCTAGACCACATCCTTGTCACACCAAAGCACAGCCGCAAGTACCAGTGCAATTCCTTGCAGTTTTCTCTACAAATGTTTGGTGTCCTTTCTAGTACTCTACGTATTCCTCCTAGACTGACACGAAGTGAATGAATTCGGTAGAATGTAGAATTCGGAGCCTCGAATCCAGTAGATTGAACAGCTGTGGCCAAACCTTTGCCAAAGAAGGCGCTATATACAAATAAATTGCACATATTGATCTCACTGTCTTACTTTGCATTCGCTTAACCTTAACAAATTCTCTTGAGACTTATGCGGAGTTGCAGTGGATGGACAGCCCAATTCCGGGTAAGAAGCCTTTTCGCAAGAAGTCCATGGTGTCAATGCATGCGAAGTTGCAGCGTTCGGGACACACCTCTCTGGAAAGACTCGCAGCGCTGACCTGGGCAAACGAATTCCTGGTTCATGCTGATCGCTCTTAGGGCCAAATTTGGAACCCTCCCTCGGAAGCATAGGGTAACAAAAACGGAGTTCAAACACCTGAGCACAATAGAATGAGCAATGAACAGAACAGGACAACGCCACTCATCGCTTCTTTTTGTTCTCCCATGTTCTCCCTCCCGAAAATGAACATCTTCGCCCCTCGCCAGTTGGTCACCTCGGCCAAGTCTCGAAGTTTCCACCTCCTTCGCCGTTCCAGGTGTATGGCACGGCCCGGCGACGTTGCAAGATGCTGGCCGCTTCGATGAAGGCCAAAGAGGAGTCGATGCCATCCACGTGTTCAAAATGTGGACTCAAGGCGAAGCTCATGCGACCCACCGAACAACCCACATCCAACGCGAAGCCAAAACGCTGGGCGTGCTGGACACACACATCCTACAATAAGCTTTGAACATCTGTGTGAATCCTGCATGAAGCTGCTGCACTCTCTCTCTCTCTCTCTCTCTCCCTCTCTCTCTTCTCAAATGCACATATTGAGAAGCAAACATGTAACATCATTAAACTAGAATTAACTACATAAAGGAAAGCATCCAACATGCACAAATTGAGGTTGAAACCGACACTCTTGGGAATGTCAGTCCTTCACGTGTTCAAAGGCGGAGGTGAGGATGGCTGCATCTCCCTTTAAGGCTTTTTCAAGAACACCAGAGACAGGGCCATAGTGGAAGTGCAGGTATTCATTAACAGCAGTGTCCTGCAACTGCAACAGGATCTTAACCGGTGAACTTGTGTCTCTTGCAATTGAAAGCTATGCCCCATGGGTTTTAGCTATTCATAAATAAGTAGATATGTATATATATATTATTGGTTCAATCAATATGTATAACTTTAACATATTTTTTTTTTAAAAAAACATATCATTATAGATATGCGTGTTGAATATCCAAACCAAACTCATCTGCCATCTGGGTCATCACAACTTTGATGGCAGCCAAGCTTCGGTTTCATACTCCGACAAAGCACTGCTGGGCGAAGGGCAGGAGAAGTCTCGCTGAGTCTTTGTCAGCGATCTGCCAGACGCCGGGCGCTGTCTACGCCCCTCCTCCTTCAGAGTCTTTGCCGCTTTGGCGTGCCTCGGCCAAGATCTGTGCACCCACCATGAAAGCAGTTGGGCTAAGAAATCTACAGTACATCAAGTCCACCAGGCTAGGGTTCAACAACATGCAGCGGCCAAGTTCCCGTCAGGCCGAAGGCACCAACCCACGATGAGGCCAGTTGTCAAGGCCAGGGCGGGCAAAAGCCATGGCTGTTCCATGTCATTTCCCTTATTCCATGCACAAGGTATGAACTGCGCATATGGTGCCCCATGGTGCCCCATGCATCTCCATCCTCGAGCAAATGAACTCTGGGTGCTTGCGGCTGGATGGACCAATTGTCTGCAAACGCAAACTTCACCAGCCAAAAATGCCAAGTTGCTTTGTGTTACATGTGAAACCAACAAAACGATTGCAAACCAAGCAACATGCACAAACGAATTAGTATAGCACAGTGTCGCACATGCAGCACCAGTATCATAGCTTCGGCTCGATTTGACCATACCAAAGCACTAAGAGGAAGTTGCAACATAGTTAGAACATAACACCCGGACTAAGGATCTACAACGTGATCTATATATGATGCATATGATGCATTATTATAATTATATCTATATAATAGTAATAAAGTCTCTAAAAAAGCTCTCCTGTTTTCGTGTGAAGTCCGCTCAGCAGGCTCCGGGGCCTGGAGTGCCCGGACCCCTGCATGGATCCATGGCAACGACCTCAACGTCCATGATGACCTCGGCACCAAAAGCCGTTCACCACACGAGTGGAGTTCATATGCAAGTGGAGTACACCACATTTGCAGCGGATTCCATGGCCTGGTTCCAGGGGTCATGTTCTCTATCAGGGTCAAGGCAAGAGTTAAACTGATAGTAGCAAGGCATCGAATGGTAGAGCATATCCTGCAGCATATCTTCAATGAGTTGACATGTTCAAACTTGAAGAATGCTCGTCTCGTTACTAACACATTTGACCTGTGAACCGGCAAATGAAATTCCCAGTCAACCCGAGCTTGGTTGATAACCTCTAACATCCAACACCCTCGAAACACATTTCAATGCTAGAATCTTCTAGAATGCACCAAATGCTGAAACCAACTTGACTCCTCTCTAGTTCAGCCTGGTGGCGCATCCAGCGGGTCGATTTGCCTTCATGGCCTGGCTCTTCAAGTAGAGATGGCCCTCAGCTCGGTCAAAGCTGGGCACTGGGGAACCTGGTAAACTTGGCCCCGGAGACTGGCCAGTCTAAAGGTTTCTTTGGGAGACCTTGTGATCCGCACTCGATAGCGGTTGCCCTCAATCATCAGACCTCCCCAACTGACACAAAAAGCAACGAACAACATGACTCCCACCTGGCCACCAGGACCCACTTTCGCAGCAATCACTTCTACCGCTTCCTGCTGGCCTGACGAGTCCGGGTGCGGTCAGACCTGGTCATTTGCCGGGCTTTGTTCGTATGAAATCCACCTCCCAAGGAGATTGATGCAAATGCGGAAGCACATGAACGACACTACTTCACTCACTATACCAGCCTTGCATCCAATCTGAACAATCGGTCTCCCAAATCATTTGCCGTCGCCTTCGCCGACAGCGATCTGTACAGGTGGTGCCTGAACACAGGTGCGGTGCATGTGAATCTACTGTATGTGAATGATCAAAAACAGGAAACAAGTACACAGTGGTTGTGGATCTGCTTATCGCATTCAAGACAAGAAGCATTCTGATCTTCGATGGGTACCAGCCCATAGCCAGGCCTTAGGTAGGGCATCTGTCGTGTATTAGTATTGCTTATAGAACGTACCGGGAGAAAAAACTTCCAGAAACTGCATCCCTGAAACAAACCCCATGTTGTTGGTTTGATTGATGATGGATCAATATTTATCAATCACATTGGTACAAGTACGGTATCCAAGTCCTCCCTCCTCAAGTGGTCAAAACCGACATTGCCCCCCAAACACCCTACAACGGTCCAAACAAGCAGGCTTTCATGTGTGCTCTGTTTGGAGCAAACAAACGCTCTCCCACAGCAGGGCCCCTCACAGAATAGCAATGCGTTCCCGACTGCTGGCAATGCAAAAGGTGCCCTCGGGCATCCACCTTGTGGGGCTTTCGGACTTGGGAGAAAAGCGACCTTTCGTTCTTTTTTCGAACAAACACGGTCGAGTTGTTGTTATAAGTCGAGTCTGCTATCTAGAAGCATTCTAATTCCCACATCCATACATGTAATGAATATACTATGTACCCGCTTTGTACAGCTCAGCCGCTTCTCATGCATCTGAACACCAAACAAGTGACAAGTGGAGAAGCTGATTTTCTGTCCCCTCATCCCTTTGGCCACTTGGACGGACCTCCGCACTCGCCAGTGCACAGCTACATTGTCCAGGTCCTGTGGCCACCCCACCGGGCGAGAGAGCGACCATCAAACGACGTCGTTTTTGGGTGTCTTAATGGACTTCCTGGGAGAACGTCGCTACTAGTAACAAGATGTATAGGTGCATTACTAGTAACTTAGTAGCAAACAACTACTAGTAGCAAGGTGCCTTACTATTGGTACCACAAAACTCTTAGGACGTAGACTCAGAATACTTGATACTTATAGATCATAGATCAGATCCCCCCCTTCCCTGAATCATGCAGAGACATTCAGAGCGGATCCATTCACCTGCCTCAGCCCGTTCCTTTCCACCACTGCTCTCAATGTCTAGGAGCCTGAGGCTGCGGCTATGACAGTATGACAACTTATCCCCCAATCATTGCAACCACTTGGCACTAGTGTAGATTGCTGGTAAGCAAGGTTGAAATATGTCCAGCTTCTGAGCCTTCCATCAAAACAGCTTTTTCCCATCCAGATTGCGCAATGCCTCCAGGAACATAAGCTACGTCAAGCTACCATCTCCCAAACGATCTTTCAATCACCTGTAGCTTCTTGCTACTTACTAGTAGAAAATGTCAGGAGCTACTTAGTAGCGTCCTGTTACTAGTAGGCGATGCCCTTTGTTAGTAGCAACCTGGAGATGCCAAGCTGCTGCTGAAAGTCTTCATTCACATCCTCGACATCAAGGACCCGAAGCCTCAGCTCTTCACATCGAAATGCCGGGAGATACCATGAACCAACGAGGCCATCCACACTGGGGCGGCCTTGTCTCGGAAGACATCTAAAACATAACTTCTGACCGGGCATTTTGCGCACTGTGTCCATCAGTAGGCCAGCTGGCTCCAAACAAAGAAACAAACATACCACCCACGACTGCTGTCAGGCCACAACTCCACCTGCCGGTCGGAACAATGGGCGAGGGCCGCTGAAGCTTCTTGGAACACCGGTGGTTGGGGGAACCAATCAAAATCTGTGTGTCTCTGTCACTCTATCTCTCTCCCTCTCACTCACTCACTCACTCACTCACTCTCTCTCTCTCTCTCGTGGGTGCTCAAAAGTATAGTCCATGGTTGATTCATGTACTCTTTGAAGTTGCCCTTTGTGGACAACCATTTCCACCTCCCAGCTTGAGCAGTAGTCATCTGGAGCAAGACCTTCTGGATTGTAGTCCAAGGCCTAAGGTTATCTTGCAAACACAAACCATACCTGGTATTTTGCAACGTGGGTGTCTTTGAGCACTGCGCTTCCTTGCCTTATGCAGTGCAACCACTGGGGAATCGCACAAACCTTGAATATATAGATCTTTTCACTTAGCCTGAGCCCAAAACCTTCCGAGAGAGGGTGAACTTGGCTTTCTCGCCAATCTCTAGCTGCTGGACCACGGCCTTAGCCAGTGAAGAACACACGCCTTTTCCCATGTCTCTCATGATTCGGAGTACTGACATGAAGTGATGTGAAGCTCGTGTTGAGTGGTATCCCAAACACGTGCAAGCCTGTAAGGAGATGCTGAATCTGTTCCATCTGTCGGGTGGCAACTCAGTAAATAATCTGTGCTCGACAAGCACCTCAAAGTAACATCAAACATGGTGTTAACTCGTGCTACTTGGGCACGCAAAGTGGGGAGTCACGAGTACCTCAAAGTAGTAGCATCATGGCACTCCCTACTCGTGCCACGACTTCAATGCTGAGCTGGCGGCGGTCCAAACCGGAGAACACTGTGGATCACCCAAAGGAAGAGCCACGTGAAAGTCTTCATGCTCTGGATATTCCTGAAGTTGGCAGTGAGACTCCTTTGCATAACGTGTTGTTAGCTCGAATTGGAGTTATTGAAACTCAGCCAGCAGAGCTTACAAATGCTTACAACATGTTTCTGAAATCCCGGACATCCACAATAAAGCTTTAAACTGTTGTTCGCTCACTAACCACAGGAGACAAAGCAACTTCTGCAGCCAAAAGCAAGGGGCAAAGCAATACAGTAATAGTGACAACATGCGATAACTGTGATGGTTAATCTATTGATATCTACTGGTTTAATACTGGTCAAACGTTTACTGTGTGTGAGACCAAAGGACATGTTGCCGTTCAGCCCTTCAACTCTCGAAACAACGGCAACACCAAAGGTGTCCCGATGGCGCCTTCTTTTCCTCGACCGCCAGGATCTTGAGATAGGCGAGATGTCGCTTCTTCGACTTGGCCTGGAAAACAGGCCTTTTCTTTTGACAAAGGACCGGTGAGAAACGGCCAGCGGCCATCAGCCATCAGAATGTGGCAATCCCCAACCACAGCATGCATACAAAAGATAGACAAAGTGCGATCGCGTGTTGGCTTCATTGGCCGCATTTCCCTTTCGCCCCACGCTTCCCAAACCATCAATGGAATAAAGCTGTGACCTTAGTGATCTTCCATAAAGCCTGACACCCCTACCCTGCAACAATACTTCGACCAAGACATCATGTGAGAGATAATGACAACTTCTGATAGTCTCTAGATGTCTCTAGTATATTCCTCCGCTGTGCCAAAGTATTGGCGAACCTCCAACCGACCAACTGCTCCAAGCCATTGCTGTTGCCTCAAGATATGCAGACTTCGCCGCCCAGCCCTGGTGTCCGGGTTGCAAGGTCTTCTCTTTCTTCACATCCCCTCAGTGAGAATAAGACGTTCGACAAACAAATAAGGACAGCAACATCGTCTTTCACGGGCCACATGGACTGCTGAATCTGCAGCTAAGACCTTGGGAGCTGCCTGACAATTTGCAGAATGTGGGCATCGGTATTACAACATCAGTAGAGCAAATCTTCTTGGACGAACAGTTGTTTGACAATTTGAGGTAGATCTGACGAGGTATGCTATGAGCGATGTCAAGAGCCAAAAGAGCTCGTTCATTCCCACTATCCGCTATCCGATTTTCATCCCATGCTGCCCGGATTCCTTCGGCTAAGGTTGGCCGCGCCACGTCCTCTCCAGCTCACATCCATGACTTGGAGGTGTAATTGCATGGAAACGCCAACAACCTCCTACAAGCGCCGTACTTAAGTCACTTCAGGCGGGGAAAAGTCACACCACCCACACGGCACGCATCATGCATTGAATGTTGAAAGTTTACGCATCCTCAATGGCAAAGCATTGCTTGGTTTATTATGTTTTTTGAATGTTGCAGGGCGTCGGTCATAGGCCAACATCTACTCCACCCATGTCGACTAAGCCAGGAACACGGCTAGGCATTCTTAGCCACAGGCTTGCGCCCAGCACGACAAAGGGCACTCAAGCCAGGTCCGTTGTGCTCCATCAAACTCCGAACAGCAGCAGCAGCAGCAGTCAATGCTGGCTCAAGTTTAAGATCACCAAAGCCGTCGGCCTCTCCGGCCTATATGTCTCACTATGTATACTGCGAGTGGATCTTAATCAGCGAAGTTTGAAGCTATCACTGACGGTCCATAAGCGGCGTAGCGTCGGAACGGAAACCGCACCTTTTCTAGTCGCTTGATCCTTGAGCCAAAGTACATATGGTACATATATATGTACAAGTTGCACTGTACATGTCGCTGCACTTCCATTCGCACCCCCCATGTGAACGGCAACAATATGTTCCGATCACACACGAAAATTTAGGGATGTAAGTGCTACAAAGAAATTGTATGATTTGCCGCGAGACTCATATGAGGCTCATACTACAAAACATGCTGGACTAAAGCGGACTTTTACATATAAAGTGTGCAACTATGGCTCAGAACCTATGAAAATCGAATTGAACAAGTGAGACAGTCACGAGGCCTCGCTCAGTATCCACTCAAAAGAGCATCGCTTTGATGTAGATCCGAACTGGTGACTTCCACGTAGATGTCACATCGGCAACTGACTTCACACTTCTCAAAAGATGTAGGTTTTGGTTTGGATACACTTATAGAACGGCAAGTCGGAGAGACAGTCGGTGATTGTCTTCCTTCCATTATGCTCATGGTATCAAATCGTCAATCCGAATTTGCAACGATACACTTACAGCGTTTCAGGTCAGATAAACATCCGGTGAATGATTTCCTCCCTGGTTTGCATGGTATCCTCATAGTCGTTCAAAGAAATCACCACTGGTGATAACCTCTCCATCCACGATGATCCCAGCTGCCCTGAGCATCCCACCGATCATCTTCTCCCTTCTTGGACTTTCCCTTGGACTTGCTCTTTCCCTTCCCCTTTTCAGAAGGTTGAGGTACTTCGCGACGTTCTTGCGTTAGCGCCGGCCTCCAAGATGTTCCAGATTGGCCTCCTCCTTTGGAATGTCCTCGGGATGATGAAGAAGTTGTACCTTCTGCTGCATGTGCGTTGGCGGCAAGATCTTCCTGCAAAGCTTGCTCAAACACATCGGTAGCACTGGATGGTGATTTATCATTTGGTCTGGCTTTTGGAGCAGCCTTCGCCTTGTTCTCCTCTGCTGATGAGGGCCCGAAACTCTTAGGTGCTGTTGAAGGTTTTGGCTCCTCACTTGGTGCTGACGACGGCTTGGCCTCGGTTCTGGGTGTAGATGCTGGCTTTGCCTCAGCTCTTGACGAAGATGCTGCTTTCGCTTCAGACTTAGTCGTTGATGTTGACTTAGCTGTTGCCTTGGCTGCCTGCTTCTTCTTGCCCTGAATCTCCTTGGCCCTATCTCCAAAGCCTAGACGATTGGTAAGAGCTTGAACATGCTTATGTTCTACCACGCTCATCCATCTCTCTGTATGTCCAACGTTGGGGTTTCTGGCCATTGACTCTATGACTTCCTGAGCTTGTGGGGGCAACCTGATCTCATGTTGATCAATGATCAACAGAATAGACTTCTCCCACTTGCTCTTCATTCTCGAGTACATGATGTCCAGAGGATCGATCACCTTGTGGTAGGGTGATGTAACGTCGGTTCTAAAGTAAGAATATGTCCGACACCCATAAATCGCATGGATGCACTTCTGTACCAATTCAGTCATTGCGCTGGCTTTCTTCGCTTTCAACTCCTCAAGCTGGGCATCAGTCAAGTTGGTGGAGTGTTCGAAGTTGCCATATTCCTCCTTGAAGGATTGCGGAGTATGACCAAATGATAGGATCACGAGTGCTACCTTGCAAATGAATTGCTCTCCTCTGAATCGGTGCCAGGCCTCCTCAGTTGTAATATTGTTGTCGTTGGCAAAGATTAACATCATATCATCTGTTGGATCCAATGGTCTCCCATCGTCATCGATTTCAGTGGAATCCCCTGTACCGAACTTGCTTATCACATCCAGTCGCTTCCTTTTCCAATTTGCTTTGAAGTCGGTAAGGCTGGTGCAATAGTAGCTCTTGTACATCAGGGAGATCATGTTCAGCACACATTTGACCACATACCTATCCATCAAACCCGATGCATTCATGGAGACGTCCTGACAGTAGGCTCTCTCTTGATGCGCATAGATTCGAGGTTCCGGTACTCGACAATAGATGGGGAGATCTTCGTTGTCTCTTCCTTCTTCGGGATTGAACTCGGTCGCTCCATGCTGTGCATAGTATCCCGGTTCATCACGATCTGTCGGTCGATTCGCCTCCGGATGTAAGTCGTCGGTGACGTCTTCATCCTCGGGCTCACCATCTTGACGTTTCTTCCCCTCATATTGTTGTGTGCTCCTCTGGATCTCGATGATCACGTTTCGTTCGTCTTCATCTTCTAGATCAGAATCACGACCGTAGTCGATCTCGTCCTCATTGAAAGATGGGGTCTCGACATTGTCACTCTTGAAGTTTTCTGCACCATCAGACGGTTTGGAAGGATCTAGATTGTCCATGTCCTCGTCGTCGTCAGCTGCTTCAGTTTGAGCGATGTCTTCTTCCCAAGCCTTTCTGATCTCGTCCATAGTGGCCTGGTCCAAGATATCTTGATCATCATCTTCAGGCTTCTTCTCTTCCTTCTTTTCCTCTTCATCGTCGCTCACAAGATCAACGGGTGAATCGGAAATGACAGTGTTACGAATACCACACGAGAGTAGCCTGCCTTGACAAGATAGACACACGGACAAAGATGAAGAAGTCAAATGCATACATGATGGACACAAAATATTGCCATCCACGTTGCGATACCCTTCACATGTTCTGGAGATGATTTCGTCCCAAGTTTCCTCACTGATGGAATCCTCGATCAGCTCTCCATTGTCATCGAATCGTACTTCATCGATAAGGGACACGAGCTTTTGGACGTTGTCATCTGTCGCCGAGGCTGACTTCGTGACTTCGTCGGCTCTCTCGAGGATGGTATGCTTCTGAGCAACCCAAAGTCCATGACGTGCCGCTAGAACAACTTGCTCTCCAGTGCTTCCCAGCAGGAGTCTCCTCCATGCCTGAACGTGGTCGTCCCAATACCAAGCACCTCGTACACATCTCCATGGAACTTCTCTAAAAACAACAGTGTAGGAATTCTCCGAAATTCTTCCCCCCAAGCTTCCTCAAAGTCATGATTGGAACATAAAGGCAAACGGGCATTCCCACTCTTGGCCATCTTGATCTCAGAATCTTTGATGATCGATCATCCCACGGCGCAAAGTGGTTGAAGAAAACACTACCTCTATATCCCTCCGTTCCACCAGGGACAATTCCTAGTTTCATGATTGACTCAATATTGGAAAGCGATGTCATGTGAAAGCTTCCTCCAAGCTGCATTGCCACATTCTCTGGAATGAGATGTGAAGTCCACACAGGATATATTGACACATCCTCTTCAAGAACAGTCTCTCTTCCAGAATTGTGAGAGGCAACAGCTCGAATTGCACAAGGAACGATCCAACGTTCATGCTTCAGAAATGACGGTGCGTCTGTGCTGTAAAACATGAGGTTTGCCCAGTATTGCCTTTCCTCTTCGAGTGAGACATCCTCCTTTGAGATGCGAATGGCGGCAATCTGATAGCGTACTCTGTTCTGCAACTTCTTTGCATGCCACATCGCCTTGCATAAATACTGGTATCGCTCTGTCTTGACATCTTGACGATGCCGATCACCTGAGATAGTACTGATATCGACACCATCGTTGAAGACATAGTCATATTCCAGGATCTCATCGATGTTCACCCATCCACCCTCATTGCACTTCGGGGACACATGAGGTTTTCGACCGCGGTGCGATTGAATCCCATTATGCTTTCCCACTCCATGCCTGAGTAGTCTATTGAGTCTATGGCTAATCTCGTTGACCCTCTGACTCTCCTCGCTGAACTTGTCGATGCGAGTTGCTGGGTTCATCTTTGGTGGATCCGTGAAAGTTGCATCTCTCTTCGGTCCATTCCAGTACTCCACATAGAATGTAACTCCGTACTGTGGAATGATCTCGATGCTTCCTCTATCGCAAGTCACCTCAATCTGCCGATATCCAACCTTGTGAACTTGTTGTTGGTCAGGAACAAGGTCTTTCACTTTGGGCATCTTTATTCCGAGTGCTGCAGCCTCCTGAATAAGTGCATCAAGTTCCCACTTTCCATTATGACCTGATCTATCAACCCTGTGATTTGCGACCCTGTACTCTCCTCCTTCTTTGTCATCGGCAATGTCAAAGAGGTCGACGGGCTCTTTGAATCTGGTGACGAAACTGGCGTTCCCAAAGGCCTTCTTGGTTGCCTCGACCGCTTTCGCGTATTCCTCTTTTGCAGAGTCTGACGAGTGTGGTCTACCTTTGGCTCTCGGAGAGTGAGGTGGTACCTTACCTCCTAGTTCCGGCTCTTCTTCGGGAAGTTCAATATCTTCATCATCCACATCCATGTAGTCCTCGTCTTCGACGTCTTTGGATGACTTTGCTTTCCTCTTTCGGCTTTCAACATCACGTCGGATGATTGCCTTGTCGTCCTCGGTGAAGCACTTGCGCATAGTTTCCTCCATGTAAGATAATGAGTTCATCAACTCGTCCTTCTTCTCAGTGTTGGGACAAATAGCCAGGTGATGTTGGTTTGAACCACAACAATAGCACACCTTTTGGCTCACTGCGCGTGCTCTGACCCTTCTGAGGTTGTCATAGGCGGTTTTCCAGTTGGAAGCGGTTGCTGTACCTTGCCCACTGCGCTTGGCAGCTCTTTTCCGTTCTTCAGTATCTGGATTCGATGTCGAGTAGTGCGACCATGTTTTCGTCGGGGATACTGAACGACCTTCCCCATCCTTGTAGTCTTGCGGATCAAGCTCAGGCGTAGGTGGTTCAGGCTCCTCGACTCCTGGAGTGGTACTCGCAGGGTCGGCTTCGCCATCCTTCATCTCTGCATCAGGCTCTTCCGTAGACGTTCTTTTGGGCTCTGGGGCTATGGCCAGTCGTACCATTCT